ATCATTTTCAAACATGGGTGCTTCCTTTTACAAACTAACTTTACCTTCATTGTTTGGAATTAAAGGCTTGTACCACCATCCTGGACCTAAGCTTTTCTTTACCTGATACTTGCTCTATACCAGGATGACCTTGAACTCAGATCTGCTTGCCTCTGTCTCCCGGATTAAAGGCATGTTTGTATTCCAGCCAGCTCCCACAGGCCTAGAACATCTTTGGATGTGATCCCCTGCCAGAGCAGCCATGTTCTGAGTTAAAATTCCTCTACATTTGTGTGTTCACATATGCCAGTGCGTATGTGGGTGCCCTGTGTGTTTATGCTATGGTGTTTGTGCGGCGGCCAGAGGACAATTTGTGTAAGATCCCTCCTTCTGCCATGTGTGTCCCAGGGATCAAATTCAGGTTCTCTGATTTGGTGGAGTGAGCCAAATCACCGGCTCTTTTAGTTCTGTCGGGTTTTCTCATTGAACCTGGAGTTCACCAATTCAGTTTGGCTGCCTGGCCAGTGAGCTTCAGGGATTGCCTGTTTCAGCCCCTCCTCCAAACCCCAACCAGCAATGGGCTTACAGCCAGGTGCCTCCGTACTGGTTCTTATGTTTGCTGCAGCAGGAACTTTACCAACGGTGTTACCTCTCCAGTCCCTATTAGTTAGTTTTTGATGTGGCAAACAGCACATAGCCTACATTGTCATATAATCCCCTGAAATTACTTTGTCATAATTGTCCCTTAGAGCAGATGGTCCTATCAGTGCTCCTAGGAAACTGGTGAGCAGAAGTAGGTGGTTTGGTTCCTAAATGTTAGTGATTTTACAACAAACAGATAGAAGAGAGCGATAAACGTTTTCACTCTAGAGTTCTTTTGTGAGGGGCTCATTTGTGGGACTCATTCAATACAGCTTGTTGACACCACCATGCCTGCCAAGACCAATTAACATCAAAGGGCAAGAATGAGAAAAGAAGAGAGGGAAATGGAAAGGGATGAAAGTCTCAGTGAGAGTGACCAGGAGTCACCGCCACTGCCCTGTGTGGGAGCAAGAGGAGACACAAGTTAAGCCAAGGGCAGCAGGATTTTTGCCCTGTTTGGGGCTAGGAGAATAAGGCCAGCAAGTGACTGGTTATCCCATGGCTTGGGTTTCACATCACGTACACAGACTTGCCCCCTCCCCCTGTTTTGGAGTTCCTGGTTGGTGCTGTGTGCTGGGCTTGGTAGGGGGAGGTTGATGCCATTTGTGTGATATGTGATAAGATGCGAGTGGAGAAAGCTGCTATTAACACTGATTAACTCCGAAGCTGACCACCAGCGCACACAGCCATTGTTCCCGCCAGAGCTCTTTACTGATGGGCTTTATCTAGCTGGCTTTGGGGAGACAAATGCCATTACAGGAGACCAAATAACTTCATTTGGGTGGACACTGGATAATGGAGACGCTGCAGGTATTAGCCTGACTGCATTAGTTTGATTTGCTGCTACTGTTCACCTTGTCCGGGGCTTTAGGGAGACAAAGGCCTGGAATTACCCGCAGCAGAGATAAGCTGTGGATTAGAGCCTTGTGCTTAAGGGAAGGAGAATTCTACCCTAGCTTTGCATTTTGCTTGTTTTCTTTTTTTTCCCTCTCCCCTCAAAGTTAACTTCCAGCTTCCCCCTACATGTCATTTTTTTTACACATTTTAGCAATTTTAATTCCAAAAGTGTTACTGACTCATTACTTCCTGTAAAAAGATCTGTCCTTACCTTTTAGGTTTTTGAAAATGATTTTAAGGGAAACACTGTGGTAATCATATGTTTTACCCTGCTTTTTGAGTATTCTTTTTTTTTCATGAGTGTTCTTATATAATGTGATTTGCCTCATAAAATTGTAATAGAAATGATATTATTATTATTTAAAATTACATAGTTATACATTGCATTTATATTTTTGTTTTTTTTTCTTTGTGTGGTGTGTGTGTGGTTTTTGTTTTTTTTGTTGTTGTTGTTGTTTGTTTGTTTTTTTGTTTTTTGTTTTTTGAAACAGGGTTTCTCTATGTAACCTTGGCTGTCCTAGAACTCACTCTGTATACCAGGCTGGCCTTGAACTCACAGAGATCCACCTAACCTCTGCTTCTCAAGTGCTGGGATTAAAGGCATGTGCCACCACTGCCTGACTTTATTTTTAACATTATAGACTTTTTAATTTTTCTGACATCTAAATACTATTTACTTCAATTACAAAACCCTTTTTCTGTAGTGTTAGATATTGAACTCAGGATTGTATGCATATCCATAACTCACTAGGTGAGTGCTCTTCTGCTGAGCCCAGTGCTAATTGCATTATCTGTAATTATTGTGCTACTGTGTTGTCTTTCAGCTATGAAAACATAGAGCTATCAGTTATACAGAACATATTTTAGTTACAAGCCTTTCTGAGTTTTAGGGCCCAGAAGTCACTTACATGGCATCGTGCTGGGACACGCGAAGGGAAGACAAAACCTTTACTGTTTCTCTCCTCCTCAGACTTTGTAGACACACCAGCTTTCACACTTTCTTTTTGAAGATTAATTCTTGTTCAGTGTTTGTGAGGCTTTTACTGTTTCTTTTCTTTCTTTTTGTTTTTTCTTTTTTTTAGTTTTTCAAGGCAGGATTCACTGTGTGGTTGTGGCTATCCTGGCTCTCCCTTCGTTGACCAGGCTGGCCTTGAACTCACAGAGATTCACTGCCTCTGCCTCCCCAATGCTGGGATCAAAGGTGTGTGCCACAACTGCGAAGCTGTGAAGCTTTTTCATTTTCTTTCTGTATAAACTTGTGAAAGTTTATACAGATTCTTCACCCTCTTCATACATAGTTAATTACAGACAAACTGTGGTTTGGGTGAAGTCAAAATTTGTAAAAATACTGCTTCAAAAATGCTGAAGTGTTTTGTTTTGTTCAAGACTTGAAAGTCTATAAACTAAGCAGATACTAAGGAGAACAGAAATTCTGACATGGCAAGATATTGAAAACTATGATCATACTGAGTAAACAATAGCACAACCAACAAAAAGCCAACTTTTAAAATGCTATATAAAAATCTATAAAACACGTAATAGTGGGTATCTCTGAAGAACAAGACGAGGTGGCTTCTATTTCAGCAGTATTGTTTACAAAATAAAGTAAAAGCTTGTTTGTGCCACCTGACACCCTGCTCTTTCCTTCCTGCTCTTGTTGGCTTTCAGCCAGCAAAGTCAACATTTTCGCAGCAGCCCAGTAGACAGCAAAGAAAGCTGTAGTGGAGAAATGTTTTCTGACGGAACAGTCATAGAGACAGCTCCAACTCTTTCCTAATGGCAGCAGTTCCTGGTAGGAGTGGGTCCAGTCTTCCACCCCAGGCCTTCCTAGGGACAGCTCTGTTCATCTTTTTGTCCTCCTTCCCTGTCTTGTGGAAAACAATAAGCAGTTTATTGTTGACTGACTGCTGGGAAACAGCTTTCTGCCCCAAATGTGCTGGCAGTAAATTATTTTACGAAGTTCTGAGTCAAGCTCAGATATAATGGCAAGCTATCTTTCAATAAATAAATAAATATCCCAGAAAAAAATATGCAGTGATAATAGATTTGGTAATTCAATAAGAACCTTTACTCTGGTATTCACCGGGAAATAGGAGGATTAGGAGAGATAAAAAAGAGAAGGATAAATTCAATTCAGGTGAAGAAAACAATCTGGCTGCCATGGAACAGAATCAAATAATTCAAACTAACATTTCAAAACCAAACAAAACCCTACCCAGTTAGGTTTTTCCTTATCTGGAATACAATCACCTAGGCCTGCCTTCCCTCTCCCCCAGAGGAGAGGGCTCTTTACTGCCATTTATCTCCCCACTCTATCTTCAGGTGGCAGGCATGGCTTGTCCCCTAGAAAGCGCCCTGACTATTTTCAGTAGCTGTGTCAGAGCACATGCAGAAAGCCAGTTAACAGCGCAGTACTGAGGTGTGTAGTTGATTGGAGTCATTAAACAGAAAACAAATGATAACAATCACTTAGAACAACAGAAAGAGAACACAGTACATGAACTTAAAAGCTATTTGAAAAATTGCATGTATTTGCAAATGTATTCATTTTTTTTAAATGTTAAGGATACATTTGTGTGTGTGTGTGTGTGTGTGTTTGCACAGGTTCCTGATGCACACGTGGAGATCAGAGGACAATTTTCCAGTGTTCATTCTCTCTTTCTACCATGTGAGACCTGTGTTGATGGAACCTACGCTGACAGGCTTGGCTGCAAGTACCTTTCCCTTCTGAACCAGCTCACCAGTCCTGAAGCTTAATTCTTTTTAGCAGTAAAATACAATGGTGGGAATATGAAAGCCGGTGGTCTTATATCTGTGCTTTGCCATGATGACTCAAAAAAAAAAATAACTTGAAATTGGTGTTCTGTAGATTTTTTTGAACAAATGGCTAGAAATCAACAGAAGATTCACAGATAACTCATTCTGCAATATAGGGGTATATAATTGTATTTCAAAATGTACCTGACATAAACTAATTGAAATAAATTAAACTATTATTATCATTGTATTTTTGGAATACTTTGCAAACCAGTCTGTAACCAGTCTGTGGAATGATCTAGTTATGAGCTTAGTACACATATTAACTTATTAGATTAACTTTACTCACTTGAAAATAGTTGTTGTTGAGGTTCAGAGGGAGTGGGGAGAAGGGGGTGAATCTGGGAAGTGGTGGGGGAGAAGGAATGAATATGATTAAAATACATTGTACACACCTGTGAAATTTTCAAAGAATAAGGTATATTAAAATAGCTGTCATTTCTGGAAATTTTTATTAAATATATAAAAAGGTTTATTATAACTAAAAAGGTCCAGAAATAATATGTAGTATGCTAGGATCATAATTATTTGCAATATTTTCAGAAAGAATGACAATATTCAGATTAGGTACAAGAAAGAAGCGGTAGCATTTTAAATACGTGACATTTCCATTGATGTCTTGTGTTCTGCAATTGGAAGAGAGTCCCACGTGTATAATTTTCTAACTATTTCAGATGATCTGTGTTGAAGGGCTTTTTTGCCATTAGAAACTGTGATTCTCTACGGGACCTTTTCAGCTTTGCCCGACGATTTTGGAACCAAATCTAAAATCAAGGGAAAATAAAATAGTTCTCAGACACATTACTGCGTTATCATCACAGGTAACAAGTATGTTTGAAAGTTACCTGGATTCTGTCCTCCTCTAAATTCAGCTCTTGAGCTAGGTCCTCTCTGATGTCAATGCCAGGGTAGCAGTTCACTCTGAAGACATTTTCCAATACCTCAACCTAAAATAAGGAGGTAATTCTTTAAAGTAGTAATACCTCATACATATGTCACCATTGGGCTTTTATTTGTGCTGATTAAAAAAAATGCACTTAAACTTGGGCAGTTAATCTAAATGCATTAAAAAAAATTGATTACCCAGAAACTGTTAAAATATGAATTCATTCTTTCATTAATGCTGCTTCTGTATCAGGATCCCAGAGCAAATGGTTTTTGTTTACCAGGGCTTCACTTACAGTCTTTTTGTTATCACTATTGGGTAAAAAATTCTTCCCACCTGATTTTGGGTGAAAGCAGTTCTTGGTCTTCGTCCTCTGTACCAACTCAACTCTCTTTTCAAAGCGAGAGTTTCTGAGGTTGAAAAATAATTTTCACATTTCAAAGCCCTTTCTTCTGGCCATGGACAAGGCAATGAGGCCTCACTGGGAAGGTCTGGAGCATGCAGGCATGGGTTGCCATCTTTCTCTACAACCAGAAGAATAAACTCCATCTTAGATTGCCTGCGCTCTACTCTGTGTTCCAGAAAAGTCTTATCAGTAACTTATTTTGAATTTTCTTAGAGAATTCTTCAGGGTTTGACAAAAAGAATCACCTCCCCCATTAACCAAGAAAAAGAACAGCGAAAGAGAGGGATGGAGAGACAAAGAGAGAGGGAAAGTGAGAGAGAGAGCGTCTGCCTTGGTGATAGAGAACATTTTGGATCTGCCATTTATTTTTCAGTGAAGAGAGATTCAGAATGTCTTTTGAAGCAAATGCTAGTTCTTTCTGGGAGTGAACTAACGTCTACTGCCATCTACATCAGGAATGTATCCCCTTACGGCCCTGTTGGAGGCTTTTTATATTTATGGAACAGAGTGAGAGCACAGTTTCTAACTCTATACTGTGTGAAATAAAGGGCAAATTAATTAAAAAATTAACTTGTGGCATACCCGAGTCGCCGCAGGTGTCTGTCCAGGGTCTGTGGGGTCTTGTAGACGTTACACAATCTTTTTTCTTGTCCAGTCCTAAAATGCTCTCGATTGAAAAGGAGCAGGACTTGCTTTCCCCGAGCTCAGCATCTCCCCGGAGGCTGGGAGACATCCTCTTCAGGGTCGTGCAGAGCTGGAGGGCTCCTGCCCCACGTACAGAGCTGGGATCTTCCAGCAGTTCACCTTATAGCTTTGCTGACTAGGGGCTGGGTTTCCAACGTCACTAATTAAAATCCTGTTTTAGAAAGTTTTAGCAAGTCAATGAACACTTGCCCAGCCAGCAGCTTAAGGAGTTAATTGTTTATTTGTTTGCAAGTAATTAGCAACTAATGGCTCCACCAGGGGGCCACCTACAGGGACAAAAAGTGTTATCTCTCCTAAGCAGAACAGACTTAACTTTCTCGAAAGAAGTGATGCACAAACATAGCACTCCTCTTTTATTTGAGATCATTAATGTATAAAATCGTGTTTTTATTCTGAAGTTTATATTTTCAAGGATTCTAGTTACCTAAATGTACAGGACAAATAGAAGAGCACTCAAGTAATAAATAATCTGATTTAGTGAATGTTCTTCCAAGGAATCTGGAAATAATAATAATCTCTTAATGCTATTACAGTAATTCTGATGAAAATGCCTGTTTTCCATATGCATATATAATGGTGAATGTTGGCAATGAAAACACAGTAACAACTTTTTGGAGTGCAGCATACTGGAAAAGCCTGGCAATGTATTAACACAAGGTATAATTGTCTTCCAAGTGTCTTGGATTAATTCATAGGAACAGTTGCACCATGCATTTTAAATAATTAATAGGCTAACTCCTTTTTTAATTATTTCTTTTAAATAAAAGAGATACAAGATTACATGAGGCTCATATGCTATAGAGAATTTCTTTCTATAACACTGTTATTTAAAAAAAAAAAGAAAAACATAGTTAAATAACTTTAGTTAAATAACTTTTTTTTTTTGAGACACTGTCCCATTGTATGGAACTAAGTCTAGGCCAGGCTGGCCTTGAACTGAGAGGTCTGCCTCCCTCTGCCTGCTGCCCCTGGGATTACGAAGGTGGAGGATACAGTGTATCTCCCAGGCCTTGATTTAGGACTTGTCTATGTGACTTGCTTTGGCCAGTGGACAGAATGTGAACAAAAGCTCAACGTGTGTTGGCATGAGATTGCTTTGCCTCCATGGGTTTTTGATAACACCATGACATCATCCCTGTGATAGCTACTGCTCTTTAGCCTTCAGCTAAACCCTTAAGATGGACGTGTGAATCAAACTCTAACCCATTTTACAGGGTATAGTCAAATCAGCTGTGTTCAGCAAAGCTCAGTCAAATGCCAGCTGGACTGACTCTCTCTCTTGTTTGTTTGTTTGTTTTGTTTGTTTTGAGACAGGGTTTCTCTGTGTAACAGCCCTGGCTGTCCTGGAACTTGCTTTGTAGACCAGGCTGGGCCTGAATTTACAAAGATTCACCTGCCTCTGCCTCCGGAGTGCTGAGATTACAGGTGTCATTCACCATGCCTGGGCTTGGCCTGATATTTTCTAAGCAGGAAAAACAAGCATCCGGTTTAAGTCACTGACATTTGTGGGAGATTTTATATGTACAATCTTTTTACTTTTTTCTTAAACAACTTAAAAAAATAGACATTTTTATTTATTTAATATATATGTGTGTGTGCTTGAGTGTATGTATATGTAGTTTATGTGTGCAGATGCCTGTGGAGGTCAGAAAAGGGCACTGGATCCCTTAGAACTGGATTTACTGGTAGTTGTATAGGTACTGGGAATTTGACCTAGATCCTCTGCAGAAACAGGAAGTGCTCTTAACTGCTGAGCCATCTCTCTAGTGAGACCCTCAGCCTCTTTTTAGATAGGGTCCTGCTATGTAGCCCAGGCTGACCTTGAACTTACTGTTTAACCTAGGATGGCCACAAACTCAAGGCAAACTCCTCCTCAGCCTCACTAGTACTGGGGTTACAAGTGTGAACAACTATGCCTAGCTAAATGCAGCATTTAGGAGGAAATAGCTCATTGAGTGGATATGAAAGTGAGGGAAAGGGGGGCATTCCAGTTCCTCCCCACCACCTTTCCAATATGGATCCACTCCCTTTCTGTCTCTCATTAAAAAGAACAGGCTTCTAAGAGATGACAACAAAAGACAACAAAATGAGATATAGTAAGATAAAACAAAGACCATCCCATCGAAGCTGGACAAGGCCACCCAACAGAAGGAAAAGGGCCCAAGAAAAGGCCAAGAATTAGAGACCACTTGTTCAGACACTCAAGAGTCCCATAAAAACACTAAATTGAAAGCTGTAACATATTCCCAGAGGACCTGGCTCAGACCCTGTGCATGCTTCTTCAGTCTCTGTGAGTTCATATGAGTTTTGCTCAACTGATTTAGAGGGACTTGTTCTCCTGGTTTTCTTCATCCTTTCCAGCTCTTATACTCTTTCCATCTTTCCTCTTTTCCTTAGGGATTCCCTAAGCTCTGAGTGGAGGCATTTTAGGGAGACATTTAGAGCTGTGTGTTCCAAGGTCTCGTTTGTTGCACAGCTTCTCTGCTTTCTACATGATCCAGTCTATCAGTGAAGTGCTGCTCCATTAAGGTTTTTATCTGGATTATTATGTTTTTCATTTCCAACATCATTTCAGTTGGGTTTTCTTCAGCAAGTCTATCTCTACTTTCATACCTTGGGTTGACTTTCTCACTTCATCCCCCCTTTTTTTTTGTTCTTTTGGAGTATACTCACATCGTCTTTGAATTGTCTGAATACACTTATAACCATTCTTTTGAATTCTTTTTCTGGTAGCCCTTCTGAGTCATTTTCATTAGGTGCCATTATTATGGGATCAGTGATTTATGGAAGAGACGAGTCTTGGCTTTCATGTTGTGACTGTGCTTTGATTTGTATATCTAGAGTTAGTTCATTGGCTGCATTTTTCTTGTAAAAATTCTAGTTTTTTTTTCTTTTTATTGGTGGCATTTGCAGTATTTAGTAAAGGAGTTAAGTTCTAGAAGGGTGGAGATGTCCTTTCCACCTGTGGAACTGGTATTTGGGGCCAAAGACTCTGTCTTGGGTCTTCTGGGTGCTGTTAGGCTCTTGCCTGGGTCCTCAGCTTGGGTTGTGACTCCTCACAGGCCTGATCCAGAGTCAGATTTGATTTTTACCCTGATCTCTTAGCCATTACTGGAGCTGCAGAACTCTCCCAGAATAATAATAATAATAATTAATATTAATAATGTTATTATTTTGTCTTGAGCAAATACAGTGGCATTTACTGGGGATGGAGGAATAGGTTGGAGAAGAAAAACTTAGGAAGAAGAGTTCCAGTTTGCATAAAAAGTAGTTATTGGATAGAGACCGACCTATGGGCTTGTGGCAGGAGTTCAAGGACTGTAATTACCAGAAATAACGTGGTCTCAAAAGCTATAGATTTAGCTGTGATCATCTGGAAACTCGAGCTGGATACAAGAAGGACTCAGACTGAGACTAGGCTGCCCCACCTTCAGTGAGGGGAGTGGTGCTCGATGAGGAGTAATGAGTAAGAACAAGGGAGATGTGGAGACAGAAACAAGGCCAAGGAGCTGGCAGACTCCTTATTATTACTGTTACAGGATTTCTCTATGTAGCCCTGGCTGTCTTGGAATTCACTATGAAGACCAGGCAGTCCTCACACTCACAGAGATCTGCCTGCCTCTGCTTTCCAAGTGCTGGAATTAAAAGCATGCACCACGGTGCCAAGCTACTCCCCACCCCACCCCACCCCATCTGAGCCTCACCAAAGATAATGCTACTGAATCAAAGTAACTTTACACAAAGAAATGACAACTGCTTGAAGAGACTTTAAAAAAAAAATAGAGACAAGAAAGAGAACAGAGCCAAGGAAAGAATGCAAACAACAGTACCTCCGGTAGAGTCTGCATCCAATCTCCCCAGCCCCTCCCGAGACAGGGTTTCTCTGTGTAGCCTGGCTGTCTTGGAACTCACCCTGTAGACCAGGTGGCCTTGAACTCTCAGAGATCCACAGGCCTCTGCCTCCTGAGTTCTGGCTCTAAAGGCTGCCTGGCTGCATCCATTCTTAGTCGCCTGCAGGTTTCTCTCCGACAAGCAGCTAGAAGAAGCACTGAAGACTTGTCAGGTCATACTGTGACCCTGCCGGAAGTGCTTTCCATCCGGTAAACGTCAAACCTCTGCAGCAGCTGCGGGACCTTCCTTACACTGACCGCATCTTCCAGTGTATTCTCCCACCACCCCATATTAGCCACCCAGGCTCCTCCTCTTCACGAATACTCCATATACAACCCTGTCCTTCGACAACACATTGTCTTTTGTCACTATCTGAAATGTGTGTTCCCTGTGTAATCTCAGCACTCACCAACCCTCTATCTGGCAGAGGGCTAATGTTCAGGATATATAAAGACTCAAGAAGTTAAACAGCAACAAATCAAGTAATCCAATTAAAAAATGGGGTTCAGAGCTAAACAGAGAATTCTCAATAGAGGAATATCGATGGCAGAGAAACCCTTAAAGAAATGCTCAACATCCTTGGCTATCAGGGAAATGCAAATCAAAATGACCCTGAGATTTCACCTTACACCCATCAGAATGGCTAAGATCAAAAACTCAAATGACAACACATGCTGGAGAAGTTGTGGAGAAAGGGGAACCCTCCTCCACTGCTGGTGGGAATGTAAACTTGTACAACCACTCTGGAAATCAATCTGGCGCTTTCTCAAGATAATTAGGAATAGTGCTACCTCAAGATCCAGCTATACCACTCCTAGGCATATATCCAAAAGATGCTCAAGTACAAAACAAGGACATTTGCTCAACCATGTTTGTAGCAGCTTTATTCATAATAGCCAGAGCCTGGAAACAACCCAGATGTCCCTCAGTTGAGGAATGGATACAGAAACTGTGGTACAGTTACACAATGGAATACTATTCAGCAATTAAAAACAAGGAAAATAATGAAATTTGCAAGCAAATGGTGGGAACTAGAAAAGATCAACCTGAGTGAGGTGTCCCAGAAGCAGAAAGACACACATGATATATACTCACTTATAAGTGGACACTAGACATATAATATAGGATAGTCATACT